TTCAAACATTTGCAGCCACGCACTAGAGTCTTTTTCTTGTTGCGCGGGATATTTTAAATTTTCCCTCACAGTATTTTTGGTTTTTTGACAGGAAAATTGACATTAGAAACCACACAGTTAACTATCTCCAAAAAAAAACTTGCAACCTGTAAAAACGGCAACCAAAAAGGAAAACCCCCGGTGGGAGGGGGTGAAGTGTATCCTTTCATGGCCACAACAAAAATAAGATAACAAACAAACTATAAAGGTTACATTAGACCTTTGTGTGTGCCGGGAAAGCCTTGAGTGGAAAAGACTTAAAGTGTTTATCGACTGCTAATGACGTCAAATTGGTGCCATGGCATTGTCAAAAGACGTTAAACCAGCACACCCTTTATATCCTTTTGAGATAAATAACCTTTAAAACTCATCAGTGGACGTTTCGTTTAGGAAATATTTTTGTCCCTACGACAAAACATAATTTTGTTGAAATATTTTGTAGGTGTGGCACAAAGCCACCTAACTTTCATGAATTTAAGGTTGCTCTGAAAATTTGACAAATTTATTGACAAAACAACAATATTTCACAAAGCAAAACTTTTACCGAGTATTTTCAAGGTTGTTAGCCCCAAAAGTTCAAAACAAAGGTATGCTGATCCCTTGAAGTCAGCACACTCATGATGATGGCAGATCATTTCTAGCATGGCATTCACTAGTGTTTTTAAATCCCAGTTCTCTAAAGCCTATAAAATTAATAAAATAGTGCTCTACAACCATCTCAGTTGAAATCCTGGCTTTTAGTCATGAACAAAAAAACTGATTAGTTTTCACTGTTTGTGTGTTTAGTATTGTGATTTTCTTCAATTTCCAAAACAAAATCTGGCTATGCAGACAGTTTGTTGATTTTTGGTAAAATATGTCATTTCCAAGTGCCAAGTAATGCTTAACAGCCACTCTGTCAAATTTAAAAGGCAAGTGTGCATGCCAGCAAAGACAAGAGGCAATGGAATTTCACTGAAGGAATATTCACAAGAGAATTCACAGTCAGTTTTGCTTTTTTTGGTCACACTAGCATCATAAAATGTCAAAAACCTGACTTTGAATGTGCTCAGATTACTAAATCTTTCATTTATCTACAAGTGTGCCTCATAAATAAAATCTATATCATGGTTGACAAATTACTTCTTAATTTTGGCACACAGTTTCAGCCTTAATTTATAATGTCACAAGTGAAACTACAAAATTCCCAGGGCAACGTTTGGTGTAAAATTTCTTGATACAACAAACAAGTCAAAAACCGTCCTCCTGTGTTTCGAAGTCTGCCTTCTTGTTCTTATTTATTCCAGAGGAAAACTAAACACCAGAAAAAAACTCGCTTGTGTAAATGAACCTTTAGTATGTGGAGGGATGAATTTGAAATTGATGCTAACCCCCACTCAATTTAGTCTAGACTTGCC